CAACCATTATTTCCTGAGCTGGAAGACCTGATCTGTGAATGGGTTGTTGACAGGAGAGCAAAGGCTTTGGTTGTGAATAGGGCTCAGATTCAAGAATTTGCCCTTGCAATGGCACCACAGTTTAACATAGCCTCCGAAGACTTCAAAGTATCACACTGGCTGGATTATTTCCTTCAGTGAAGTGAACTGTCTTTAAGAAGATCCACAACTAGTACCGTACCGTATACAGGTAATAAATTTCCTTTTCTGTTGTTCTGCAATAAATGTGTACCGTATTCTTCTTCACGGAAAAATAAGCTATCCCCTGAAAATAAGACCTAGCGCATCTTTGGGACCAAAAATTAATATAAGACACTGTCTTATTTTCTGGGAAACAGGGTAGTTGTGCTTCTAATTACAAGCTCAGTTCAAACTACCAGCATCTCCACAGGAGAAAGACCACGCTTTCCTGTAGAGTTACAGGCTCAGAAACCCACAGGAGGAGGTCTGCTGGAGTGAGGACGGACTCAATGGCAGTGAGCTTGTTGGTTTTATAACCATCAGCCTCTCGGAGGGAGAAAGATGAGGCTTTCTACTACCATAAAGACTTACAGTCCACAGGGCAGTTCTACTTTGTCCTATAGGCCACTAGGAGTCAGAGTCAACTAGGTGGCAGTGAATTATGAATTATGAAACTCTGTAGGGCCACTGAAGAAGCCCTGGTGACACAGTGGTTACACATTGGGCTTTCATCTTTAAGGTCTGCAGTTCGAAACTACTAGCCACTCCACGGGAGAATGTCGGGGTTTTCTATTCCCAGAAAGTTACAGCCTTGGGAATTCACAGGGGCAACTGCCCTATAGGGTTCTTATGAGTTAGCATAGACTCGATGGCATTGAGTTTTATTTAGTTATTTATTTGTTTATTTATTTATTTATTTGTAGGGTCGCTCAGAGTCGGAATCAATTTGATGGCCATGAGTTTGTTTTTGGAATTCTACAAAAATAAATGTACGAATTCAAAAGAAAATTAATGTCAATGTTACATTATATGTAGTATTAACTAAAAACTTTAGACAAATGTACTATGCAATATTATGCAGTTGCCAGAAAAGCAAGTTTTATCTTTTATTGGCACTGATGTTCAAAGGCCACCTACCTGTTAAATGTTAAAACACACATATAGGAACGTGTATGTATACATAAGTAAAAACCAAATTCTCTGCCATCAAGTCAGTTTTGTCTGAGAGTAGAAAGCTTCATCTTTTTTTCAGGTAGCAGCGGTAGGCTCAAATTGTTGACTTTGTAGTTAATAAATAGATGATCAGGTTTTACTTTTAACATCTTGATATTATTTGACTTGCTACAAATGTCTGATTTGCGTAGTAAAACGAACTCAAGCAAAAGTGGAAAAACAAAAAACAAATAGACATAAAGAATGCCTATTTCTTTTCTTTTTTTCTTTTTACAAACGTAGTACTACTTGCCACTAGCAGAGGATAGTGGGAGAGGCGGGGCTTCTTTAGTCCTTCTGGCCCCGCCCACTTTACTCCGCTGGGGATTCTCTCCCACGTGTGCCCGGCAGGCTTTGCCTTGACGCACGCGCAGTCGCTTTAGTTTGCCCAGCTTCTCAGGGGCGCCCGGCGTCTTTGAATTTGACCCCAACAGGCTACCGTTGCGGCGACCGGAAAGATACCTTAGGTCTGCTTCCGGGGGACTCTCCCCTTTCCCTGCCTCACGTTTCTTCCCCATCCCGTTTCCCTTTCCCTTTTTCGTTCTTCTCTCTTCCAGTCGAGTCCGGCCCAGGGGGTAAGTCTGAGACCTGGCTGGTCAAAAAAGAGCCATTGTGGCTGGGCGCGGGAAGTGTGGGGGACACTTGGTTGAGGTGTTTGGAGACCAAAGGCTTGTCGGGATGTTTTGTGTAGAAGGAGGTTGGAAGGTAGGAAGGAAGTCTTCCCGGGAGGCGAGCGGGGCGGGGCTGAACTGAATCCGTGAGTGAGTGAGTGAGTGAGTGAGTGAGTGGGACGCCTCCTTAAATTGAGTAGCGTGGTGGGGAAGGGGGCCAGGCGTTTGTGGTAAAGAAAAAAAATGGAGGCGCCGAGAATTGGCCTTGAGATCGTAGGGCAGTCTGGCCTCAGTCTTGTTTTAACCGTTTGATCGGGGAGGGGGAAAAAAACCAGTTAACACCAATGTATGAGTTATTTGGACTGTGGATTTAAGGTAGCCACGTTTTATTCCCACTTTTACTTTGGAATAACTATCTTTTGCTTTTGTGTGCTGTAAGATATATTTTATATGGCCGTACAAATAACAATAAATGTTGACATCGAAGCAAAGTACCATCAGGGGAATAAGTAATTAAATGAGAAATACTGTAAAGTGAGTTACAGAGATTTTGATCAAATTAGAGGTAGCATGTAGACATAGACATATCTTAGTCCATTAGAAAACAAAAGATGACATTAGTTACTCTTTGCATAACGAATAAGGTAAAACTTTGTAAGCCTGACTTTCAAGGGATTCTATAATATGGTTTCCAGTTTAACTGTTAAGTGTCGTGTATGACTACTACCTGTGTTTTACCAAAAGATCCAAAGTTCTTGAAATGCCGTGTAGTTGTAGTTTTCCCCTTGCTTGGTGTCCCCCTTCCACCCACTTAATTTTCAAGATGTTTCCAATTTTCCATAACAAGCTTACAAAATTATATGCTGACGCTTTGTCAAAAAGAACAGCTCAGCCTGACCTCTGGTTACGTATTATTGTGGAGTGCATGTACAGACAATATTTTTTCACACACAGAGAAAAATAAGCATTGGTAAGTCATGTGAGGATTGTAAGGTACTATATAATTTAAGCGACCCTGCTTTCTATGTCCTTTCCAGCTCATAAGTCTTATTCAGGCCTGTTAGTCTTCAGGATAGGCTGAGAACTTGACTACAGAGAGAGAGAGAACCCAGGCTCAAATATAACACAGGTACTAGGGTATGTCTGAGTTTTATTAGAGGACTACAGTTCTCTATTAGTTATAATTACTATGACCTCAAAGGTAATTTTCTTTCGTTTAGAGGACGACAGCATGTCCTCCATGCCTGAGTGCATTGGTTTAGATGCAGCAACAGCTACAATGGAGTCTGAAGAGATTGCAGCACTGCAACAGGCAGTGGTTGAGGAGCTGGGCATCTCTATGGAAGACCTTCGGCAGTTGATTGATGAAGAATTAGAAAAAATGGACTGTGTGCAGCAGCGCAAGAAGCAACTAGCAGAATTGGAGACGTGGGTAATACAGAAGGAATCTGAGGTGGCCCATGTTGATCAGCTCTTCGATGACGCATCCAGGTAAGGACCACAGGGTAAACAAAAGTGTTTGTG